CCTCCTGTGATGCTGCAAAAGAACAAGGAAACAGCCGGGTACTGCAAGGTCTCAAGTTCCAAACTGGCAGAACAAACATTTTCAGTGTGGATTATGAAACAATGCAACTTAGTGACATAGGATGTCAGAAGGCCACAGCCTTACTTAAAGAAAGGACTGAAATTAATTAGAATAACTCCTGTTGTCTGTATAAATAGTAACAAGATCTGTGTGAGGTATGAAACTGCATCTTCTGGGTTTAATGAGAGAGGTATTTTGAGATAAAAACCCTGGAATGTCCTGTGAGAATCTGCTTAGAGCCAGAACTGTTCTTCCCAGAAGTCTGTGATACTCAAATGCATCTTCCCATTTAAAAATAAACTAAAGCAAGAACAAATTAAACTATTTCCTAAAGAATAAGATCCTCGTCTAAGGTCTGACAGTAGGGATGGATTATGTTATGTCTGCGTTATCGGCAGCGTCTGGTATTGCTGCCATCAAAAACACAAGAGTGGGATCAAATGGTCTGTCTAATATAAGTCGGCCTTTTTTTTTTTTTTTTTCTCTGCAAGTGATATCTCTGAACAGTTAAAATACCAGATTTTGGAGGCATGAAGTAAATGAGAAGAAAGTAGCTATCAGGGTGTCTGTTTGCACAGGAGGAGGAAGAGGAATAAGTAGTGGCAGTGCTTGACAGGAGAGCGGGGACGCTGAGGAATTTGGTGCCATCACAGCAATTCTCATTGGCTTTGCCACTCATTACTTCCTGTCATAACAAATCTGTACCGTAAGGCTTATGGGACTGTGTCTTTCCTATGTATTTCTGGAGCACAGCTGTAGTTATGATTCACTGTGTCATGCTTTGTTGTTAACAGTCAGCTAAGAAAGAAATGGCTATTAAAACATAGTGTTACACACTGAAATTGAGGCTTCAGCTCTGCAAAAATACTTATTCAACCAGGCACTTCAGAAAATGAGTGGTTCTTCATGACAGAAGAAAAGCTGCATTAAAAAGTTCTTTCATACTCAGCATCAGGAGGAGAGAGAACTTTCAAAAGGAGTATCTCCATTATGATCAGTTTTCATTTCCAAGTTTCCCAGTCTTCCTACCTCTGCCAAAGGAAATGATTTCAAGGAGAAGTCCACAAGGAGCCAGTAGTTGTGTAAATAGTGTAGAGCAGTGTCTTTGGACCTTTCTGATTCGTGGGCTCCTGTTATTTCTGCAGTTGAGAAATGGTCCTAATCCTGCCCAGGTGGGTGGCCCATCCTACCCAGGTTTTATCTGAGTAAGTTTGCCTTTCTTACCACCACCATCGCAGAGTCCTTGAAAGTTTCCAACAGATGCCTGTGATATCAACAGAGTCGTTGCCACTGCTGCTTAAAACCATGCGTCCCAAGGAAGTCACTGATATTTAATGAGAATGATTGTTTTGGTGGCATTGGACCAAAATCTTTTATATTTTTACAATCATTCCTTGTTTCAAGAAAGTAGTAGGAAAAATAACCCCCAAAGTTGTTGTAGGGTATGAGTTAGATTTTGTATTTGTTTTAGTTGCCTTTGTGTTGGAATTACCTACTTAGACCTATATCAGCATTTACCTTAGTACGGAGCAGGGCACCTGTCTCGGCACGATTCTTTTCAATATCTCTCTCCCAGTGGATTCTGATTTTTTCCAGTATATCGTCCAGGCCACTTCCAAGAGGAACATCAAGTTCTTCCAGCTGAGATCCAGCAAGCTGTTTGTATAACACCTTCACATCCTTAAAAATAAAAATTAAAAAAAAAAAATGAAATGGCCAGTTGAAAAGTATCTCCAGATGGGCTTGAAGAAGAGCTCTTGGAAGGCTGTTATGCTCATTGTACCGTATATATGTGGGCAGATAGCAGCATCAATGCTGATTCTGCTAGCTTTATAGCAAACATTGCAATATATGGAATTTTAAAGGGGTTTGTGAATTTCTTTCAATGTTGTGTATTTTCCCTCTCATCTGAAACAACTTCCAGCTTTCTCAAGATTTGCAGGAGGTGCTGAAGCCGCTGGGTATTTTCAGCAAAATGAGACCATTGGGAATTTCATGAAAGTGGGGAGGGGATGAAGCTTTATCTTGGTAACGCAAGTGTGCATAATCATGCCTAACTTGCTGAGGTATTGTGGTCGGAGAAATAATCTGTAAGAAATGTAAGGCAGGATAGTGCTCGATCTCTCTTTTACTCCTGAGGCATTAGCACAACTGCTTACTGCCCCTCATGTGGCATAGTGGTTTGACATGTGACTCTTCAATCCCATTAATATCCCATGGGATGTCTAGCAAGAAACGAAGTGACAGTATTTCTTCCTCAGCATATTTATCGCATGAGAAAGATTTAAAAATATTAAGTAGGTAATTTTAATCATGTCTCAAGGGTTAGTGCTTTAAACTAGCAGAGAGAAGAAAAATAGGAACCGCTTTCAAAAGAATCCTACCATCCATACATGACAGATGCAGGTTTTTGATACTGACTTAGCTAGATGAATCATCCCAACCCACCAAAACAGGATACATGTTAGTTCTGCGGTATCCCTGTTCTGGACTTACTTCTTCATGATTCTTAGACAGCAAAGCTAGTTCTTCTTTCATGCTTTCTATCTGACTCTCCAGCTCCATTTTAGTTAAATTAGCATCATCAATCACTTTATAGAGGGAATTAATTTCCTCTTCCACTGCCTTTCTGAATGGCTGCTCATTTTCATACCTGCAGAGAAAAAAAATCGTGTAATAAGCACTTCTCAGCAAGAGAAATTTTCCTTTTTTTTTAATTAGCTGTCTGTGTTCCAGACAGGGAGGGGCACAAAAACACACACACACACACAAAAAAATGCCTTGCCCTCTCCTCATCTTCATATACTTCAATTCCACAACTAAAAGAGCCTTGAGTGCCTTTTTCTTAACTCAGAGATTCATAAGACAGACTAATCTAGCACTCACGGTACAATATTATCAAACTTGAGGTATTTCTGACCAAGAACGGAGAGGTATGTATTCTTTGTTTCGTTCTGGTGTTTGTATGCTCTGTGGATATGCATGCCTTTTAGACTATAAAGTGGGAATAATTGGCCACCCTTTTACATAAAAAAAGGGAGCTAAGGATCAAAAAACACACAAGGGTCAAGCATTACTTTCCGCAATGGACATACTGATGAAAGTCTATTTATGTTCCTGAGTCGTAACCTGCCCTTAAGATCAGATCCTAGTAGCACTGAAGTAAATAGGAAATCTGGTATTTGCTTAAGGTGGGCAAAGATTTTCATCCAAGATTATCCCGTTTTTGGTTCAAGTTTGAGTGCAGCTGCTTTGGTGGCTGCTGATGCCTCTTCTCCCCACCAACTCCCGTTGTTTTAAAACTGTCAATACATAGTGTATATTGACCAATATGTAGTGTATATTAACAGTGGGGATGGATACTTCTAATTCCATCAATACTAGGAGACTTTAGTATCAAAGCAAGCAAACTTAGACAGCTGGACTCTGGAACAGGTTAGAAGGCAGCCAAATTCATAAACAATTTCTGTACTCTTCCCCGGAGAGCCACCTACTTTCCTGGGAATTCACTAGCTTGGGAAAGAAGCAGCTAATTCCAGTGAGCATTAGGAGTTGTTAGTATGCAGTGCATTGACTGAATACTTTCTTTATGATGTATATTGCTTGCAGAAGCTAATGGACAATTTTAAAATTGTTTTTTAAAAGTACTTAAAATATGAGTGTGGTTTACTGCATCTAAGCAACAACAACAAGTTTTACCATTCTAAATTAAAAGACAAACCTAAGTATATGGTTAATGCATGTTTTGGTAGGATTAAATGAAGTAATACCATAGAGGGAGAAACAGAACTGTGGAGGGAAGATAAAAGTCACACGGAACAAAAATGAATTAGTTTGAAGTACAGTTTGTGCATCAGACCTTGCAAAAAGCTATTTGTAAATGAACAAGTCTGTTATCAGTAAAAGTTAGAAGAATCAGGCCTTTTGAGTACAGTTTGAAAAGTTTCATGTGCCCGTTTACATGATTATTGCAAGGAAGTGTGTTCCTACCCAGTTATATTCAGATCAAATTAGGCTTTGCAAGCTGAAAGACTCTTTAGAAGTAGTTTGTCAGTATTTAAGATCTTTTCCTCTTCATTTCCCTTGACAAAGTCAAGGAAAATCAGTGCAGTTCATTTCTTTTATTTTTTCTTATCTAATGGATTCATGCTGACACTTGTAGAAGTACACCGTTGTATTTCAGGTGCTGCAGCAGAATGATTATTTGTTCTTAAACCACTTGCTTGAAAAATGTAAGCCAAAAATCATACAAATGTTTGTGTTTGTAAAATACCAACCCCAAATTTGAATGAATACTGTCCTTTCAAAAGAGACTAGGGTCAGTATATCAAAGGTTAGCTTAAATAACCTTGCCAGCACACATTTTCCATTATTATAGATCTTGAAAATTTTCTGCCAAATTAATTGTAGTGTCCTAATTATTTTGCCAGATTACAATAACCTTCCAAGTTAAATGGTTGAATATCCAACATAAAAAAAAGGAGTCTGTTCTACTAATTAAATATAATTCCCTTACAAGGGAAGTCCCTGTTAGGGAAAAGTTTCAGAGAAATTGGCCAGTTTGGTGCTTCACAAGACTACCTGTCTTTAAAATCTTCAGCACAAGCTTGAACGTTCTCCGTGTGCAACATAAGACGAGCATTTTCAAGGACTGCTTCGCCCACCTGTGAGGGAGAGACAAGAATTCAAACGATGAAGAAAGGTAGCGTGGCAGCTGGATGCATGATATGGTTTTAAGGAGGTGGATAGCTTTGATTCTGAAAATAATCTTTTAGCCTAAGGTGGTTCAAGTGGTTCCTTCCAGATAATTTAATGAATTTCATACATGGCAATTCACAAATTGTCTGCAAATAGGCTGTAATTTTTCAGCATCTGTTCATTGCTCCCAAACACTCAGCTTCTCCTGGAAACACATTTATTCTCATTATCAGCTGGTCACAAGGGGTAAAAGTCATTATTGGGCGCAAGGTGTGTTTATCATTTAAGTACTGCTTATATTTTCTAGATGAGGTTTAAGCAGCACTTAAGCAGTTCCTGTTACACTTCCCATGTCAGCAATCCTCCTCAGGGTTGTGCTCCTCGCTGAGCCAAGGAGCTGCTGTTACTCGTGCCCCGTGAGCTGCCCACCAGTTCCCAGAGCATTGGTTTTGTTTTCTAGGTAAGGAAACCTAGAAGGTTTGCTACATAGTAGCTTGTTCTGTTCCAAGAGGTTTTTATGAAGAGGTAAAAAAGCAAAAAACAAACCAGCTCATGAAGAGTAGCCCTTTAAAGAGTCCAGGAGAGCTCTTAAAAGTAGAAATCCTCCTTTGGCTAATTAAGCTTGCAGCTAAATGGGATGTGAAGATCCCTTCAGCGCTCTGCTCTCTAGGTGCAAAGGCGGTGCAGTGCGACACAGCACGGCTGCAGCCAGACGAGTTATAATCACCAAGCAGAGCAAGTTGAATTCAGTTTAAAATAGCTTTTGGTCTGTGATGAAAGTGAAAGCAGGGGAATAAAAAGTAGTTTTCAGCTGCCTGAAATAATGCCCTGTGCTGAGACGCACCTAGGAGGCAAACTGTGCTCTCACTACCCTCTTAAAATGCCTATGCTGCATTTTCTTTTCCTAGTTATTAAAAGCTATTTTTAGCAGTAACCTCAGGTTTTGTTGAAGTATTTGGGGCAATTTCTTACCTGTCCCACGGTGGATGTCTTTATCACAACCCCAGTACCACGCTCTCTAGGGTTTTGTTAATATGTGAGCCCCTGCCCAGGAGGAACTTACGCCTCTCTTTATAAGCTGGTGGCTGATAACAAATAATCAGTGGCAATGCCTAGAGATTTCCGATTCTAGGCCCAGACTTGAATTGTGCCATGGATGTATGTACTGCATATAAAAAATATCGTGCTTAGAAGGGTCAGAAGCCACAGCCATAGCGGGAGCCAGCAGAACTGGATCTGTCAGCACCCCTTAAAATGAGCTGTAGACCATTTAAATACAATCAGGGATCTGAAGGATAAATAATTTCATGGCAGCATCTACGCAGAAGACAAGCGTGCAGAAAACAAGTATCTCTGATTCGCGATAGCTACGAAAGCCTTTTTATAGGCTTCGAAATAAAAGATGCAAGACTTCCACCTAGCGGTTCTTTGGTTTGATGTAATTCTCCCACGAGTCAACAGTTGGCTGCAACACCCAGCGCTGGCAGGACTGATCGCCCGGGCGCTCTGCGGCCGCGTGCGAGGGCAGCGGTTTAGGCAGCCCTGTGATGGTGTTTTGGTGTTTGCCTCCGTTCCACAGGCGAGGAGGGCTCGCCAAGGGGCAGGCAGCTCGCGGGGACGCACGGTGCCGTCCTGCCCTCCACAGCCTCCCCGAGGGCCGATTCCTTGACGCTTACAGGGCATCTTAAGCTGCCAAGATGGGAAGTGTTAGGCCAGTTTAAGTACTGTTACTAGTAACAGCTCCTCTAAGCTGTGTATTGTCTTTCTAGAATTGGTGATGGGTATACATGTTTTGAACACTTCTCTTTTTTTTTCAATTTTTGAGTAAACACTGAATATATAAAACAACTAGGCAGCATTGGATTTTTTTTCTTTGATTACTTTGGGACTTTATGGGCATAAAAAAACAATCTTAATTTTTACCTAAAAGCTCTTACTTGAATAGAAGCTTCTGCTTCATCAGGCTGCATCATGTGGCCCACCTTATGGCCACCTTATGGCTTATAAACCACCTTATGACTTGTGTCCAACATGCAAAATCAGATGCCCTAAACGGGGGATTGCAAACTCCATCTGTGACAAAATGTGATGTGATATGGGGGGAAAAATCTATCCCTGGTGTCTAGTAACTTTTGATTTTTGACAGAGATTTCCCTAAATCTGGAATTGCAGGACTTGCTACACCTTTCCAATTCTTAACTGTACTTAACTGATAGCTTTGTTTAATCTGCTTATCCTTGAAAATGTCTAGTCCCAGTCTGAATGCTGCTAAGCTCACGGCCTCAGCTGTGGCCTGTCTCATGGTTTAATTATTCATGTAGTGGAAAATTATTTGGCTTTTAATTTGCCTTCAGTTTCAGCAAACGATCCCTTTATGGAAAAAGAATGGAAGCTCCTGCCTAGTCTTTCCTACTGCAGACTTAAAGAGATGGTTTGTGTCAGGCCACGGCTTCCAGTGGATTTTCATTCGCAGCGGAGGCAGCTGCAACCTGGTTCCTGCTGCGCAGGTAGCGCAGGGAGCTGCCTGCAGTCACACGTGCTGTGTTGGCCCCTTCGCAGAGCCTCGAGGAAGCAAAGGCAAAGGCAGGACTATTACTTAGGCAAAATAATACCTGGAGAGAGGCTGGGAAGATTGATGTGTCCTTTGCTGCTTCCTGCTGCATCTAGGAAAACAGGACTTCATTTATATATCTAGTATTTTCTAAATAAACAGGACTATGTCAAAAAATGCCCGGTTCTCGAAGCAATATCTCCTCCCAACGGAACAACCTGTAAAAGCTTTAATGCTGAGCAGCCACAGGGATGCAAACCAATGATTCCACCTAGCAGCGGTGTGCGAATGTTGTCCGAGGCTGTGAGCTGCTGGGAGTGGATAAGAGCATTTAGTTCAAGCTAGTTTATTGCCATCCTTCTGTAGCTGTCCTGCACTATCAGTACTGTTTTAGGAGAGGTTGTCGTGTCCTTGAGCTCAGTAAGAGAACGGGATCCATCCAGTTCCCGGGCAGGAAAAATGAACTGCCACGAGCAGGCATGGCAAATGATGGAAGAGGGGCTCCTTGCAGGTCCTCTCCTTGCCCCTCAGGAAATACACCAGTGCTTTCTGTTCTAGGTGTAGCAATGCCCGGGATGAGCAACCCTGCACACTTTCCACGCTTCATATTGACCCTGGGTAAATACAGCCAGTAGGGCCAGGGGCAAATAAAGGCATCTCTCCAGAAAGCTCCCGTGAGCTTCCAAATTCTCGCACCCGTACGCTGAAGTCACAGCAGTGAGGGACTCGGTCCTGGACATTTATTCCTTCGTGTACTTTTTTATTTATATCCTGTGATTCGAACTTTGCTCTGTGCTATCTGACAGACAAAATCAGGCTCTCTCTCTCTCTCCATCTTCCATATACCCTAACTGAGCAGTCCTGGAGACTGAACTCAGCCCTCATCCCTGTAAATATACTAAGATTATGTCAAGTATTTTCTTTTCCCAGGTGCTGCACTGCTTGGTGGGAAGGAATTACCTTCGCAAATAGCCTTCTATTTTGCAGAAGAGGCACATTTAACTAGGCATTTAAATCTCTCTTGCATTTTGCATAAGACGACTGCGATAAAGACCGCAGGAAAAAGAGCACGAGCAGGATAAAATAAGGTGAATTTACACTTCTGTCACATAACTAATTCCTCTCAGCAAGGTTTTCTCATTTCACTCTGTTCCTGCAAAAATCCTCCTGCTCTGCATCTGTCCCAATTAGCGCATGTGTGTGCACATGTGCCTGTGCGTGTGCGCGCGTGTGTGTGTTTACACCTGCTCTGGCAAAAACCAGCTGCCCCACCTGATAATTAATACTGTGATTTGGATAGTTGCCTCATTCAGCTCTCTGTCAA